GATGGCTGTGATGCTGCATAGGGGGTCGCCACTTTTGTCTGTGGGGACACGGGGGGTGCGACGGACACGAAGGGCCGACCTGCAGGCTCCATTCGGGCCTATTGGGAAGCGATTTATAGTGAAAGTAGAAGGGGAGAAAAAGGAAAAGATAGAGAGGGAGGGAGAGAAGGAGACAAAGAGATTATAAAGTCAAGGTCTAAATGTGCCTGTCATTAAAAACTAAGTGGCGGATTACAGCATGCAGGAAGTATTAGCAAAACAATGGAGCAAGAGACAATTCCACACACTGACAAGCCTGGACCATGCAGTCTGATCGGGCAGGCAGGGAGGGGAGGTGGCAAGAACCAGTGGAGTCAGGTCTATTTGAAGCTAGGCTGAATGTCAGGGAGAAAATACACTGGCCTTGTCACTTCTGTGGGGCAGGCAGCTGGACCCAGTGAGAATCGCTCGTCCTCCTCTGGGCAAGTGTAATGACCCAAACAGAACACTCCCCAGAACGCCACAGGCCATGACCAAGGACATCAGGCAGAGGAAGAGACTCTGTGGACATCTCCTCTGCTCAGTAAGCCTAGAGTTAAACCATACATGGCCTTCCAGAGCACCTGTCAAGACTTTGTGCTGGTTAGCTCAGGCCTTAAACTGTTCAGTGCTACAAAATGCAGGAATCCTAAACGGCTCTAAAACATGTGAAGAGCAAGTTCTATGCAGGAATACTACTGAGATGCTTCCACTCCACATGCTCTGATATCCAAGACTGGCAAGGAAAAAAAAAATGAGGGAAAAGAGGCAGAACTGAGGTTTCCTAGGAAAATTTCCCCAGAAGGAAATGTTGAGGGATCTGCAGAAGAAAGTGATCTTAGGAAAGAAAAGCTATACATGCAACTATTACGTTAAACAGAAAAAGAATGGAAAGACAGAGAAAAGCTGACTAAGGGAAGGAGCAATGGGAAAGCAGCAAGCAATGTTTTAGTCCACTTGTTGGGTATTGCACAAGTTAAATTGTTTCTCTAAAATTGTAAGCCTACATTCCCATTAAAAATAAAAAGATTATAGAATCACAGAATGGTTTGGTTGGAAGGGACCTTAAAGACCATCTCATTCCAAGCCCCCTGCCATGAACAAGGACACCTTCCACCAGATCAGGTCGCTCAAAGCCCCATCCAACCTGGCCTTGAACACTTCCAGGGAGGGGGCATCCACAACTTCTCTGGGCAACCTCTTCCACTGCCTCACCACCCTCACCGCGAAGAATTTCTTCCTAATATCTCATCTAAATCTTCCCCCTTCCAGTTTAAAGCCATTGCCCCTTCTCCTATCACTCCATGCCCTTGTAAAAAGTCCCTCTCCAGCTTTCTTGTAGGCCCCTTTTAGGCAGTGGAAGGCTGCTCTAAGGTCTCCCTGGAGCCTTCTCTTCTTCAGCGTCTATATGCACAGAACAACACCAAAAGGATTAGAGCCAGAAACAACAGTGATTTACAATGCACATGGGTGTGCCTCTACCCATCACATTAGCTCTGGAAGGCAAGAGTGTAACAGTTCTGGAGCTAAATCAAGGTGTCCACATAACAAAACAGGAGAGAAATCTTGATCTCTTGCAAGTGTTAGTCTATAAATCACCATTCTCCCAATCACCCAGGTTAATGAATTTTCAAGTAGCACCACCTGACCTTAATTGTGCCCTGTATAAGGCACTACGGGTGTGCTGACCTTAGCTGTGCTGAGCTTCACTTTTGACACCTGAGACAGCAAAAGGCAACAGAAAAAATAAAAGCGGCATAAAATAGACAGATAGGGAGACCAAGGCATAACAAAACAGCTATCCCTGAATGACAAGACCTTGGAGAATCTTGAATTTGTCACTTAGAGCACACACAGTGAACGTGCATTTTGATGCCTGTTGTAGCAGCATCCCATTCAAAATAACGTGTTCAAAATCTAACCAGCAAAATGAGACATAATGAGATCTTCACTGCCCAACTGTGAAGAAAGTAAACAGATGAATAAAGTATTCTTTGGGTAAACAGCAATCTTTCAAAATATGAAGTGGACAGATTACCTGCACTTTGAGAAACCTGGCTTTTTTAATCTTAGATATATTCGAAACAGAGAGAAATTTTCCTCATATCCATTGAAGACAGTCATTTTCACAGTGAGCAAATTAAAACACTCAAGACAGGGAAAAGAATATCATGCATCTCAGGAGGGGGAGCCCCTCCCATCTCCACAGAATCAAATTAAACTTCCACAACCAGAAACATATTCAGTGATACTTTGTTTATAGAAAAACTTTGAAACGGATCATTGTTGTTGTTCATCCTTGTAACTATGTGATGTCCTTCTGTGTATCTTGAATAATTACTTATTGATTACTATCAATTCGTATTTGTAACATGCATCTTCATGACTACCTGGAACTCTCAGAAATGCTACAAAAAGAATAGTATCTATTTTTAAATAATTGTGCCTTTTTTTAATGCTGTTTTTCCTAAGAAAACAAGCTTTTGCAATTGAACTGTTTGCCATCTCTTTTCCTGTGCCAGTTGCTTTCGGATTGGTTAGCAAATTTCAGTCAAATATGACAGACCACTAGAAATCTCAGTATATTTTCAACTTCAAGAAATTGTTGTGAAGTTACTGGCACCTGGTAAATGAGGGAAAAGCAGGTAGAACTCACCCATTTTTTTAACTTGTTGAGCAGTTAGCCACTGGCCAACCAGTACAACATCCTGCCTGGCTGGCCGGCCTCAATGTCATCTCCCTGCCGGGCCAAAGCATGCTCTGTTCTGCACTGCTTGCTGAGGGGGATGAGACAAGGGTGACAAGGGGGGAGAGAGCTGTTGCAGAAGGGGAAGGGACATGCTGGCCAAGTCCCCATTAATTCTGCCCCTTGCAGCAACCTGCCTGCATGAACTTCTTAAGCCAGCTTCGTCACCAAAGCACTGTGGAATAACTACCTCCGAAATAACTGTTTGGAGACCAATCTGCCTAAGCCAGCACATCTCAGTATCACTGCAACTACCTTTTCAGGTATCTTACAATTTTTTCAACACTGTTGTTTCCTTTCTTGCCACACAGTTTAACATTTTCCACTGCCAGTCTGATTTATTAGTTATTTAAGTTCCTTGGCCCAGAGCTGTACAGAATAAAAAGGCACGTACTGTAGTTTGATGGACGGTAAATTTGTCACCATTTTACTCAGAATTTTTTAACATGGCTTTGAATTATAATTTTAAATGGTTCATTTCATTTGGATTCTTTGGAAGTTTTAGTGCAATCCATTCACCTGTGTTACGCATGAGGAAGAGATATATATCTTTTCTTGGATTTGCTCATAGAAAGGAACTCAAATTGATGAAATGTTGAAACGTGGACGGCCCTCAACAGGGAGCAGTCTGAATATTTTATTTTTAAAATGGCTTTAATCAAATACATAAAAATTCTTGGTGTTTATTTAAATGAGCAATTGCCAGCAGCACTATGAACTTGATAAGAACAACAGTGATCCCATTGTGATAAACTTCAAACTTTTCTCTAAAAGCTCAGAGAGTGTAGCAGCAAGATTTTCACAACTTTAGGAAACAGTAACATTGCAGTTTGCATAGCAGTACTCTTTCACCTGTTGGAAACATGCTAGACACACTCAAGTGCCCTCTCTTTTGCATCTACCCTGCTCCTGCAGAAATGATGCACCCTGTACACATACATAAGCCATCTGCTGATGAACATGCATCAGGTGTTGCACTCATGCAGTACAAAAATGTGGATCACAATTTAGCAAGCTACATTCCTGTACTGAGTGCTACATTACTATTAGAATCAGACAATTTCCAAGGCAGCAGGCACCGCAGAAAAGTTATGAATCCCAAAGAATGCAGCCATGTCAGTTTTCACATTGTGCCACATGTGCTTTGTTACTTGAAAATGTGATGTTGTGTGTGTCTTATTTTTAGTCAGTTATATGATACAGTACTGTCAGTGTAGTGACCCATGGTTTTAGTTTTAAAAAGCTTGCTTCTCTAGCTTGAACCTGGGGTCCAGGGAAGATCCAAAATTGACAGGAATAAAGATAGCTTCTCATAGCATCCTGCCAACATACTTCAACACGTAACTGCTGCAGTTAATACTGATGTCATGGCTATTCAAGAACCTGGAAATTCCTTTTAGTTTGACAACAACCCAGCTTAAGTGGCAATTCTGCTGTCTTTGCAAGTGTTCCCCAGGACCTACACCAGTCAATTGCCACAGAAAGGACAGAAAACTAACCAAACCACAACAGACCTGAGCCCCAGGCTTCAGTGGGTTAAAATATTTTCTAACTCTCTACCAGCAACAAGAGATACCAAATCTGCCTCAAACCACAATTGCTGTCAATTTTAGTACTTTTGCTTTGACCATATTTATGGTTACTGTTTCCATTTCCACTGAATGTAATAGAAAACATTTGAGAAAAAACTACTGGAATACTTCTTAGATATACCTGCCTTCAGGTCTGAGTTATTCACATCTTTACAATGGAAAGATGTGGTTGGAGAAAGATCTTAGTGGAAGAATTTCATTCAACTTGTCAACAGCTGTTCTTTTTATTTTGTCTTTATTCAACATTAGTTAATAGGATTCTATGGGAAGGGTTCTATCATGCCTTCAAAAAAACGGAGGGCTTCTGTGCACACAAATAAAAGCAAGAACAGAAGGTTCCAGGGCTGAATTCCCTGAAAAAATTATTCCTGAAAAAACAATTATATGGCAATGTATGTAAATAACAGTAAAAAAGAGAAGAAATCTCACTCAAGACAGAGGTGGAAGAGGTATCACTCTGTCTCGTACATTTTGTTGGGTGTTGGTTGTCAAACTAAAGTCTTCTTGTTACCTTGCTGGACTCCTCCAGTTGAGTGCCTCGCTTCCAGGCCTCGGAGAACATGGAGCTGACGATACTTTGGGAACGGACATGTCCAGCTGGCTGGGTGTCAGAAACTCCACTGTCAGACTGATTAGAATGATTTGATTGAGATTCTGTTCAGAAGAAAGTTAAGAAACAGTTAGCACATGTTTCTGAATGTAAGAGTAAAGTCGGTGTGCTTATAATGCAACTCTGTGTAACATTTATTGGTCACACTTGTTAAACATGTTATCCCACCAAAGGACATCCATCGTTCCCACTAACTAATGCATAAGCTCTAGCTCACATCCAGGCTGTTACTGGCTGGAAAACACAACAGTGCAACAGATCCCTGGTATTAACCAAATCAGAAGCTCCACAAAGATGATAGTATGTCATATATGCTGCAAAGTAAAAACACACTGCAGCTGTATAGGTTCTGAAACACCCAACAGCTCCTGCAGTTTGGAAAAAGCCCTAGTTCATGCAACGCATGCAGCCTGCTCTCTCCAGCACTCCTTCCCAGCACAACCTTAGAAAGAGACACTGGACAAAGGCCGAGGACAGGCAGACTATGCTAGCCGAGGCAGTAGTCTGCTTCTAACTGCTCCATTCCTCATGGGAAGAGAAGGAATGATGCACATCCTGCAACTAACAAAAACGGATGATGCTCTGGGTCCATGGTGTATCTTGAAAAGACAGCCGCAACGACTGCCACATCAATTTATCCAGCCTGGCACCTGCTTTCTCTGGAGTCCCAAGGTGTCCTGGGGAAAAAGAGCATCTAGGCACAGGCTGGACTGTAGCTCTAGGAGAAAAAGCATGGCTGGTGGGCTGTCGCTCAGCTCCCCACAAGAAGAGAAACTTTATCAGAAAAACACCCAGCTTGGGTGGAGAAATTGTCAGTAACTGAGAATTTACCACTACACCTGGCAAGCTGTGGCACACAGCTGAAAAAACATGCTGCCTCCCCAATTAGGCTGAATTTGCTTAGCTTATTCCCACAAGCTACTTTCTGAACCTTTCCAATTCAGTAGCATCACTTCCTGACTTGTATCTGCAATGGACAAAACACTGTCACACAATACCCTGTTCTCAATAATGAAACTTGCCCCTGAGGGTTCAGAATAACCTGGCAATGTGTCAGTCAGCCCTGAACAGTGAAATGAGACTACACAAACCATTCATCAATTTTTAAACTGTTATGTGCTACAAAAAAAATAGTCCTAGTTATGCTGAGAGGTAAACAGGAGCATATTACTGCAGGCACACACATTTTGACACAGGAACAGAAACGGTATTTTCAAAGTTTGTCTTTAAAGAGATTGTTTAGGTCTTTGCCTTTGGGCAGGCACTATTTCTCATTTTCCATTTTCAAATATTTCAGTCAACAAAAGCAGTTTAAGAGCTACACACACATGCTCTATGCATCATTAAAACATATATTTGATTTCTATTTGTTAAATAGGTGAAGATAGATAGAGGCATCAGGAATTTGAAAGTAAGTTTTCTCTTCTCAGTATCAGGAAAACATTCTTTTCTGGAGGTGAACAAGAAAGTACTGTATGTTCCAAATATATACACCACTGCAAGTAATATAATAAAACAGGGGTTTTATATGTTTTTTCGTATATACGGTAAACATAAAGTCTATGTTTTAGACTAATCATAGCATAAAATACTTCAGAGAAACAGTCCATTTCCTGCAATAGCCCCTCCTGAGGTCTCCAGATAGCAGATGATAAAAAAAGTAAGGAAATCTTTCCATTATGACAGAGATCACATTATTACCTGGCAAACTAGATGAGCTGGAGCCTGACTTGATACTGGAGCTAGACAAGGAAGTCCAGTCATATGCTGATTCTGTTCTCTTCAATGCTTCCTGATAGTTCATGTATAGTTGCTTCCCATACTAAGCAAAATGACAAGCAAATTTAACAACTATATAGGCTGTGTACCCTTTTCAGACTGTTGAGCTCTACCTCTGGCTTCTCTATTCCATCTTTTTTTCCCCCAGAGAGAAATAACAGGCTTTTTGTTAAGGAGCTCAGGTAACATTAATTTTTTATTAGTGAATTGCTGAAAGAAAGAAAAACAGTTTATTTATGCTAGAAGAGGTAGCATCAAGCAAGAAAAGGGTCAATGAATAAACTAAGCCAACCTGGGGATCTTCAAAAACAATTTTGTTTTCTCAATTCTCTTTTCCCCTAAGCCTTTTTTTAAAATCTGTAAGGGAACTGGCTAAAATCTAGCCATGATGTCAATTAGAACTGTGTCATGTGACAGAGGTGCAGCAGAAACAAGAAGAAAGGGCCCAATTACTGAACTATCATAATAACAAAATCTAACAATTTTGCAAGGGAATGAAATATATAAAAACATTGTACAGTTCACGTTCAGAATAGTTAAAAAGAGGGAAGTTAGACTTAGCATGTATTTTGCTAAGTAACTGTGAGTGGTTGCAAACAGATAATGACAACAACTCTTGACAACAGTGCAAGACTGCCTAGAGGAGGTTACCTTAGCAATGCGGATGCCATTGATCCATTGGTGTAGAGTTCTTACATCATCACAGCAAAGATACTTGATATACTGGGATTTCTTCTGGATCTGAGGATGCTGCAGAAAAATTGTAAATCCTCATCAATATTTTAATAGCTAGGAAAGCAAGGAAAGCAATGTATCTGTTGAGGTCTATACAGACAAAGGTAATGCTGCAAGCAAACATATAAAGACAAATTCATTCTGGACTTCAGTGAGAATCAGCCTTTCAGTTTGTATTTGCCATTCACCCCTCCAAAAACATGTTCATGTTTTGGATATATTTCCCAGTTTAGTGAATCTTCATGGCACAAAACTGAGTTTCTACTAAAAAAACCTGTATGGCTTCTATACATTGGTACTAACATAAAACATCAATGTTACTTTGTAAAAATTGAGGAAGGCAGAACTCAATCCTTCTTACTATAGCAATTTGGTGATTCAGCAGTTCCAAACTGAAAATATAGCTTCACTTTGTCCAAGTTACCCAACTAACTCTATCCCAATAATTTACTTAAATATAGGGACAATTTAGACACAAAATTTGACTTTAACATTTTCATGTACTAATTTACGCTCAGAATGGCAATACTTTTAAAAAAAAAAATCTACTTAGGTAAGACTTAGTCCGGTTTACTCTGTGCGGTCAACAAGTCTGAAAAAATAACTCACTATTAACCTGTCCAAATGATGTGGCTAGAAAGTGACATGTAAACGGAAGAAATCAATTTTCTTTAAGGAATTTACAAATACCTACAAACACTGACTTTTTTGCTTTTAATTGCATTCAATTACTGCTCCAATGACCTATAACAACATGGAAAATATTTCCAGTTTCAGGTGTATGCTTTCTCCCTTACTATCATGTTCCATATTTGATATTCAATGTCTACCTCTCAGTAGGCCTAAATACATGTTATCCTGTCTACTGGAAGATGAAATAATTTTTTCACACAGTGGACAGGCAGCTGCGTATTCATAGAATCACAGAATGGTTTGGTTGGAAGGGACCTTAAAGATCATCTCGTTCCAACGCCCCTGCCATGGGCAGGGACATCTTCCACCAGACCAGGCTGCTCAAAGTCCCATCCAACCTGGCCTTGAATGCTTCCAGGGATGGGGTATCCACAACTTCTCTGGGCAACTCCATGCACATAAAACATTCTAATTTACTGATGTACACAACACCACATGAGCTACAGACCAAGGAAGGTAAGAGGTCAAAGGAAAACTGTAGGTGCAACTATAACCATCTCTTGTTACTTGCACTATTTTCAAATCCATCCTTCACTTGCTGTGAACATACTGTGAAAATCTGTTTTAAAATAGCTTTATAGCTAGCTATCTTGAAGGAACTGACACATTTTGAACACTGCGTGGGAGTCAAGACAGACTGGGAGATCAGTTGATGCAATTTAAAATAACTCGGAGTACTCAGTTTATTAATCTCACGGTTTAAGATCAGGTCACTGCTTTCATAACATTTTTTTCTACTTGTTCTTTCTACCTGTCCTTTATACTCAGAAGTTTCTTCCTTTACAGCACCCCCTTTCCCTCAGGCTGGGTAATACGGGTAGACTTGACTCTCTAATATCAATTTCTGCACAACTCTGGACCTGCGCTCTGAGAAGACAGCAGCTCCCTGAAATTAGCATTCCAAGGGGTATTATCTCACTGAACTCTTGTACAGTATGGAGTTGCCAAATGGAAAATAAGAGTTTAGTGTTATGTTTTAGAGTATGATGAACAACTAAATAGACTAGGACTCATCAGTCTGGAAGTAAGACAATTCAGGGCATTATGAAAACATTTACAAAGTCATGAGTAGCATGGAGAACAGGCAACAATTGTTCACTAACTTCCCTTCCTATATAAGAACTAGAGGAAAATGAAATGAAAAGCAACTGATGGTTCAGAACAAGCTAAAGAGCATACAAGGTGTACTCAACGGCTGCAGCATTCTAAAAGTTTCTTAGAATCCCAAAAGAGATAGGGCATACTCAGAGTAAGAATGCACCTAGGGCTATTAACAGCCAAGATCCACTCCACAGCTCCCTAAGTTTCTAAAGGGTGAAAAAGTATTCTATGGAAATATGTCTACAAGACTGTCCTGTACTTCTAATTTTTCCCCAAGCAGCTTATAGAGAAAGGCCACAGTCAGAGAAATCGAGAGTCCTAGTTGAATCCAGTAAAGCCATTCTTCTGCTTCTCTCTATGATCTTTTTCCCTCCTCCCCCCCTGCAATCCACAGGGATCTTCTAGCAGGTGGAAGAAATCTGTCAGCTTGATGTGGAAGAAAGTGATTCACAGCCATTTCTTCCCTCTGCACTACTCCCCACATGGCATTTTCTCTGTTTTTTTTCACTGTATTTCTGTCAAGGAGGCTTATTACAACTCCACAGAAGATGTAGTTAAACATAGCTTTCTCATTGTCACTGTAGCTTAAGGCAATTTTGATATCTCATGTTCAGAATGAAGATAATTTAGAGACTCATCCTGAAATCTGACAGGCATAGTTTTCCAATTGTTATATTACTACAGGAAGTGTATTCTAAATTATAATCTCTTCCAAGATTAATATTGTGTTAATCAGCTCTCACTCACAATTAGGAAGTGTAGTTATTTTAAGGGACTAAGATTACTGTCGAAATGCTTCAAGCTCTTTAATTGCTCTTTTTAGTATGAGAATTTTCAAAACAATTAACAAGTTACCTTTAGCACTAAACAATAGTCTGTGGGTGCTTTGTATTTGTTCCGATAGTCCTGTCCATAGTAAACACTGACATGGTCTAGCTGTAGAAAGCACACGAGATCCCGTGAGACCTATTAAATACAAAAATAATAATTTACAAAATATCTTTATAAGAAAGCCACATGCACTGACGAAATCAGTCTAGTATTAAGATCCAACACTAATACAAGGTCTAGTTAAGGTCAAATATTAGTTTCAATGTGATTCGAAAACTACCAATACAAGGAGATACAGCCATGCATAAAGTCTTGCATCGGACATTCATTTTTAACCAGGATATCCTTTTCCAAATTCAGTCTGGTTTTTTGTGTTTTGTCTGCATTTTGCCTTTTGACAACATTTTACACTGGACTACTAGTGTTTATTCAGCATTGGTATCAGCAGAAAGTAAATAGGATTGGTTGACCAGGAACTTTTTAACAGCTGTTGGTTACATTTCATCTTGGTAATAATCAAAGTGTCCAAATTCCACTGTGACTGAGTAAAATTCTAGTGATGTTTGGCAGCAATTGTAGGGCACAATTTCAACAGGCTGTCTTGCATATAGATTGTTTTAACGAAGCTAAAGACTGCGGAAAGAACATCTGAGATGTATTCCACTCTAAAGGGAGCTGATGCGTTGACAGAGATTCCCTCTTCATTGCCAGCTGTGTGGGAAGTGGACTTCCTGTACAGGGGATCCGTTGATGCTGTCAAGATTGATCGATTCATGGACAACTTGAACTCACAGTAGTTCAGTCTTGAAGCTATAATACATTTACAACAGCTTTCTATTTACTTTTCATTACTGATACACACAGAACAGCAGTAAGTGACACTGAAGAAATGGTATTATGTTTATTTGTTTCAAAAAACATAGCACAAATTGGTCCAAAAAGAATGCCATCTATATGAACTAACTAAATCCAATGAAATCATGCAGACTGATTATGAAGTTGGTCTGGTATTTTATAATTGTTATCTGCAGTGCAATTTCATCCTTCATCTGAATTCTGCCTGAGATAAGACAGCCCCTCAACTCCACCAATTATTTTTCAAGTGTTTCTGAACACCTAACCCCAAGTTCACTCAAAAAGCAGACCCTTGTCTTCTTGCATTTTTAAATTTGGGGTTACACCCTTCACATCAAGTGCTACCATAGTAATTTATACAATATTTCCATGATAAAGCTGCACTTTTAATTATGGGATGTGGCACTAGGCAAGACACAGCTAAGTCAATATTTAAGGCTGGCTCTTGTGCACACGATTTACCAGCAACAAACAATTCAGGGAAATTGCTTTAAAATAGCATACCTTTGCCTTCCCTTTAGGGACATAGTAGATTCCAGAAGCTCGAAGAAGAAAGTAACGTTTCTTCCAAGATTTCTTACCATCCTCTTTCAGCCACAAAACTCCCTCAATCTCTGGCACGGTTACAGAACTTCCACAGAAACATTCCTGCCAATGAATACAGTGGTTTAGGAAGAGAGAAACAGACAGAACATACAGCATGCAGTGGTTTGTTTTTAATGACTGAATTTCTGAAATTCTTTATCTAAGGAATGCACACATAACAGGGACAGGTCTTCTTTTCATGCAGTGATGTAACTTAAGAGATTAATTGTAGAAGCTCTAAGGTAATTCAGACAAACACAATAGGGGATCTTAGTATTTTCTCAGTGCAAGAATGGCAACAAAAATACTAGCAGCTACTGTTAAGATTTTCTAACCACTGCTTATCAGTAATAGATCCCGCAATGGTTTTACTGGTTTTAAAGTCACGAGGTCACCTTATAGATACAGCATCATAAGTCTAAGTATACACAAAACCTAATTACATATCCATCAGATATAGCTATAATTCATTCCACGAGTACTTTGTTGCTACTAACTGCCAACACTACAACTTCTGTGAAGGTTCTATCTATAAAGAGCCAACAGAGGAAAACAAATGCTTTAAAAACGCTCCATATTAATATGCAGCACAGAGATTTATGAGTAATCCTAGCAGACAGAAAGAATTAGACAGAATGACAACCCTCTGCATGCCATGGCTTTAAGCATCTTTATGATCCACAGTATTCACATGACCACTTATTAAAACCTGTATTAATAATATACTAAAAACACACATATGCTACTTATAAGTTAAATTGTAATAAGTATAATCCAAAATTAAATACCCAAAGTATTTACTTTTGTGCAACTACTGAAATCATAACCATTATTCTGGAAATCAAGTGGAAGTTATGACACTTCAGCATGGGTATATCTCTACAAAAATGTCACAAAACCATTACGTTCTCAGCTTATGGAGGTTATGTTTACCGTTTGCTTTATTTGCTCCACACATTTTTTTTGTTGTTCTTAGTTCTGTAAACTATTTAAAGTGTTTCATATTAACTGACTTTCTTTTCTGTTACTCATTTTTTAAATTTAATATTTGACTGTTTATTTTAAAATGTAATCAAAACAATTTTTAACTACTTTGGTTACTATTAAAATTTAAAATATTAACATAGACTAGTCATTGAACCAATGCTATAGAATTTTGTAGAGAATAACAATTTGGAGAGTAAAAAAAAAATAAATAAAAAAAGCTACCACCACAGGTCAAAAAACCAGGTGATAGTTCTGCAAATTTCAACTGGTTTTAGCCATAGGTACGGGTAACCTCATTTTGATTATCACTGTGTATGGCATTTTAGTTATTGATCAAAATAAAGACACATTTTTATTAACTGATTGTATCTGAAACTGGGTAACGTTAAAATAGCCATTTATCTCAAATGTACCACATTCCATTCACAGTTGCTTCAGATTTACATTCAGCTCTATCAATTTCAATCACTACAACCTTTCAGAGTTTAGCTTCAAGCTCTGAAATGACCACTATGCCCTTTTTGTTTTCGCAGTCTTACCTCTAGCAGCACCTCTTTATTTCTGTCTGCCATCTCAGAGGTTTCTTTCTTCCCTAGAAGATAGTTCTGTAATAAGAGAAAGTTTAGTATTTCTATAGGCATTCTGAAACCAAGTCAAATAATATTTCTCATTTACCTTTCTGTAGCAGTAAGAAAAAAGCCCAGCTATTAGCTAAGAACAATACATTAATTGAACAAAACTTTGTAATGCAATTGAAACTATCTGTCAGACTGCTAAATAATAGATGGAACTAAGTTATAACCACCTTTTCCAGAAATATCAATTAGTCCATACTAAATTACAACCACCTTTTCCAGAAATATCAATCAGTCAATTCTCTTAAGTAACAGCCTCATAACAACATTGTCCTGGCTTTCCACAAAACAAACAGCTGCCTGGTACAATGCATCCAGAAATAAAGATATTATGAACTTGAAATTCCCACAACAAAAATATTTAAAAAACCAGAGATCTTTAAACTTGTTACATACTGCCATTATTGACGTGTTCAAAGAAGCACACACAGAAGCAATTTACTTCTTTCTACCTTGCCCCGACATTTTTGCTGAATAAAAAAATTTATTTTTCATGAAGAGTTACTAAATACTCTTTGTCTTTTTAAAACGAACCTAACTATGCATAGGTGCTGTATCTTATTTAATAAGTTTTGTAGTCATCTTCAGCTTGGAAAGGACTGGGACAATGAAAAAAAAAAAAAATCTTCCTCTTCCTAACCCCTAGCTCTTATATTGGAAAAAAAAAATATTCACAAAGTTTAACCAGTTCAATATTTTAAACCAAGGAGAAAATATTGGTTTTCTGCTGGTACCTCATTCTTGTTGACGGCGACTACCATATGTACTGATAGTAAACGTATCCTCTATATGCTTTTAAAAAGAATTTAGAGTTTTGCTGCTTCATTGCAAAGCACTTGAATAAGACCTGGCTTTCAATTCTTGCTCTAAAACAAAACCCTCAACCAAAAAACCCAACCCAAGTACGCTGATGGTATCCCAAATGATAAGCATGCAAAACTGATACTCAGTTTAAATCCAAGAAATTGCCACATAGATACCATACAGATATAAAAATAATCTATGATCCCAAAAGGGAATACATTAGGTATGAGTTGAGAGATCAAGTGATATTATAACCAGTTCTTTCAAATTCAAATTCTTCAAAAAGCCACCTTCTGCTTTTCTGTTTCTTTTCCTCCACTCCCTTACAATACTGAATTGTAATGTAATGAATGCCGGACACCAAATCTTAGCTACCATTTGAGAGAGAAGAGGGGCCTTTGCTTTCCTAGCCAGGGAACAGGAAACACAGGTGAATAGAGGCAGGTCCCAGCTTCCACAGGGAGGGACACATGCTCTCTTCTCTTCACTTGCCGTTTGACCATGGAGTAGCTATTCTCTTACATTTTCTGTTCCCCTTCCTGCCAGAGATGTAAGAATGCACAGTGAAGAGGCGTTACTATTAGCAATATCTGCCAACACCTTTCTTGCATAGTTACATATTTGAACAGCACTACGTACTGGTGTAAGTGCCATGAAACTGCTTGCCTTCATCTCCATCAAAATTACCCACAAACACATTAGCAAACAGACTACTTCAGCTCGTGGTTTTCTGCTAGGGACTTGGTTTTGTGCCAGCCACAATGTGGATGCACATGGTGCCGAAATGTAAAGTTGCCTGGCATTTTAATACATACAGAAGTATCAAAATAAAGTATGGAAATGAATGCTACCAAAAAAAGTAAGAAACTATGATCAGGCACGAGTGTGTGCACACACACTCGCATTCAACATGAATCTCAGGCTTACCTGGGGATTCTTGAAAAGTGCGTATTTCTCTATACGTTCCACAAACATTAGTTTGTTTTGACTATCCCTTGTCCAGTTCAGAAGATTTTCAACTAAATTTTCATGATCTTCAAAGATCCTTTCTGCAGCAATAACAAGAGAGCAAATACATTTGAATCTGTCACAATTTGTGGCAGAAATTAGTCTGTAGTCGTATCTGGGAGACAAGGCATATACGTAGAGAAAATAGAGTTCAAGGTCTACTGAAATGGGGAAGAAGTTTACACTAAGAAACTAAAAGAACTTAGTCAAATCTCAGACGTGCCTGGTTTAATTTTACACATACACTCACTCAAAACTCACTTCCGTCTCTTCAGACTTATAGCTCCATCAATATGGGAAGTGTCTTTGTTTTTTTTACCTGACAAAGCCTACCATCCCACATGAACACAGAAGACTCAAATGATGACATTTCAAAACTTATGAGTACAAATAAGAAGGTTATCACATTTATATGTACTCTGGTCCACACAACCCCTGGAGGAATTTGTAAGGCAGCTTTTTCAGCACAGAATTTGTTTCTACATCCCCAATTACTATCTCACTTCTCAAGTGTCAAAAAAAGTAATAGACAATGATCGGAGGGAAAACAAAATGCTTCTGCAATGCAGAATACTCATGGTTAGTGGGGATATTGTACAAGAAGCCTGAAAACTGACACTGTGTATTTCTTACAATCTATCTTGCTGAATAAACGAAGTATCAACAATAGCTTCTGAGAACTCTGAGCTTTGACTCTCTGTTGAAACAGTTATCACAAGTACAAGATGCTGAAAACAGGCAAAAGAGAAGAGAGGAAGAAACAAAGAGGAAAATTTACTGGAATGGAGGAGAAATACCTGAAAACCCTTATTCTAAAGCAAATAAGGAAGAATACATCTTTGGAAAACCACTAGACCAACATTCTCCTCCTTTCAAAGATGCTGAGGTAGAATCTGGCTTTCTGCAATTTGTTCCCTCTTCACATAGGCCACACAGTGGCATTTCAGCAAATTAATTTCTTTCAGAATCTTTTGGGACTTGCTTGACCTTTCAATTACATCTGAAAGCAGAACACATTTTTTTTCCCCACAAAATCAATTACACCACATTTTTACAGAGGGTACATGGCACTGATCACATCCAGACCTAGGAGCTATCACTAATGAGACTGAGATGACAGATGACATCTCAACATCTTTGGTAATTAAGAATACTAAGCAGACTGAATGCAACAAAATGTCATCTGTAGGGAATGAATTAAGGTTTGAGATGACAACACAACACTACGGAGGTCTCAGTGAGAACTTTCTAAGAAGCTTTCAAGTTACAACTCACAACTTCCATCAAGCTTATCAGCAACACAGCAATACTGTCTTCCAAGAAAGTAAAAAAGGTGTTACCTAACAGAAGAACAAAACAAAAAGCTTCAGAGGACTGTCATACAAAAGCTTAAATCTCACTCATTAGTGAAACCAGATAGCTTTCAAAACATATGAACTGTTATTACAAGAAGAACAATAACTGAACTCAAAACAACTTATTCACCAAGTGTAAATGCACCTATAATATGTAAAACTGCATATAATGCAATGTTCCTATTATGAAACATACTCTCTAAAATTAAAGCTTTGTAACTCACAGATACTTCATAGATGTACTCTGCTCTAAATAAGAAAATGAAAACAACCTCGGTCCCAACCAAAAGAAACCTTCCAGGGTTGTTTCTGTTACAAACTGGCAGGGTAAAACTAGGCAAAGCATTTCATTCTGCATTCTGGAAATAATATCACTGAGTTCTCCTGAAAGTACACATAAAGCTCCTGGTGAAACCACTACATACTAACAGGTGGCCTTCTACTTCAAGTACATGTACCTAAATCGGACTCCTCAAAAACTACTTAACCACACACATGTGAAGCACACCACATAAAATGCAAAAACAGTCAGGAACTCCACAGGCTTCATGTCTTTCTCCACAGTTTGTTAGCGTAAGGCTTTCACTGCATTTTATTGAACTGTGCAATTAATGAGCAATCAACTGACATGACAACATGGTAAAATACACTGTGAAGGTACATAGGTCTTCTGTGTCCCACTAAAGAAAAATATTATAATAAAGGACTGCCTTGCTCCTACACAGGCACTGCCAGAAAAAAATGTTTCAAAAGACGAACCACTGGCAAAATAACATAGTACAATACACAATAGCACAGAGCATGAGGACTTTGTAGGAATAATTTTTTCACCTGTTTTTCAAGTTCCAGTACAAAACATACGAACCAAACAGGCTGCATTTTGGATTGCCTTTTTAAAAAAAACACCTGTGTGAAATCTATGAAAAACTACCTAACAGTTGCCCTACCAAGGTTGAAGGAAATTCAAACTGAAAAATGAAAGAGGAAACTGAATTTTACCATCTCACATCTCTCTTCAGCTGAGCATGTTGTAGTCTGAAATTAAAATTCTGTTAATTATAACAGATGATGTTCTTTAGTTTGAAGCTCTTTCAATACAGTAGTCAAACGATGTCATTCCCAGCATGTCACTGAGCCCATACAATAAGGCATGAATACACTTGCAAAACACTCAAAACCAAGAGAGATTTGTTAACTCTGGTTTCATTTCAAAATAATCTTAATTCAGTCACACTGTTAATTTGGACAAATACCAGTTTATCTTTCTGTCTGCAGCCTAGTTCTTTGTTTCTAACAGAAACCAAAAATATTTTTTCCAGTATTTTTTTTTCCTTTATTCTTTCCAGGCTGCACAGTGAATGGAATTGTCTTTTGAAAGCAAATCTAGGATGGGAAAGACCCCTGGTTGAACCTTGAGTTCAGGATCCTAGGACCTACACATTCAGAGATTTTTCAGTGATAGAAACATAAAACTATTGCAGAATTTATAAGGTTATTTATGTACACTATTCTCATCGGTAAAATGTTACAGAATTATACCTTTGATTTTTATAAACTTAATTTGTGCAAATTCTTTCCGGTTTCAAAACTGGGTAACTTTTAAGATTTCATTTATTAAAATTTTAAGGTTTTGAGCCTAGTAAGAGATTATTTTTCATATGAAAGTTAGAAGAATCAAAGGATGCCTTGTCACCTTACAATGGCCTTCTCTGTCTAACAATAAGCAAAGGTAATATGCTGTGCTGCCTGAAATAGAAAAGGTTTCACCAAAAGAGAGAGGAAATACTAATTTGGATTTTAATTTGAAATCAAGATACTTGGGTTCAGTCCTGGGCTTTTCTTTAGTCAACAGGTAAGGTGCTTAACAGCTCTCTGATATAATTCTTCTCTGATAATGGAGATTAATAATACTGTTTTTCTATCATTTTTCCCCTTTTTTCCCATTCAGATGTTATACCCTTTGGCTAAATGAACAACTTACATTGTGGTATGTGCAATGCAGTGCAAAGGACCTTTAACTGCCCTTAAAGTCATATTTCCAATTTTATTAAAATATTTAACAGGAAAAAAAATGTAGACAGCTTTTTGTAGTAAGAGCTATTAGAATCAATACAAAATACTATTTACAAAGAGGAAGATGCATGGTAAGATTTTTATCCCTTACTTCTTTCTTCTGTGATGAACACATCAAAACCAAGAGGCTCAGTGACTAGACATCAGTAAAATTTCTTAGAATTTAGACATGCTTTTAATATGAAAGAAGAAAACATTTCCAGATCATTCTGAAATGTGATTCATGAACATTTACTACATGAATGAACATTTACTTCATGAATGAATGAGATGATGAACATTATGAAGACAAGATTTTAAAACATTCTGAGGACATAAATATAGACAAGTATTACATTAATAGAAAAGAATTATAAATGTTCATAATTATTACTTACCCATTTGCAATTCAGAGATGGTTTCCACCAATGACCAGTCTAAACTGTAACTGCAATGTGATTTGTCCATCAGATTGTCCAATACTTGTCTCACTGTTTGCCTCTCATCCACCATCATTGTTTTTGAGCTGTCATCAGACATATGGACTCTGATCACCAACTATTAAGTAGAAAATTGGGAAAACAAGAATGATTAATTTTCGTTCAACCAAAACACTCCCTCAAGATGTAAAAAGTCATAAATGAAAGTTAGATATTTGTATGATGGACACTTAACAAGATACTGTTCTCCTTCAGTATAAGAGAGTAAATATAAAGGTCTTCCCAATACAATGACAATGTGTTTTAGTTGTGTGTTAAGGAGGGAGGGGAAATCCCTCCTGCCAAAGTGTCCTGTTCTGATTAATAAAGTGTCTTTGTGACAATTTTTCTCACATGCCTAGGTGGAACAAACACAGATATACAGTAATGCACAACCTTATATAGAATCAGAATTTTTCAGATTTGCAGTTCAAGCTTTCTGCCCACTTCCTCCATATTTTCTAAAAATGCTGATTATGTAAATAGTATATCTACACTAAATCTTCTTTTTCTGGGGAGTATGAAGCATTAATGCAAAAGAAATCTGCTTTTAAAACCCAATGGCTTTGAATAGACACTTTAAAGAGGTCACTGTCCAGAAAGAAAAATGCAGCCATTTTTTTAATCAATCAAAAAACTTAAGACAATAGATTCTTCTTGCCAATCATTAGGCTTCCTTTTTTATACCTTGGTTCAGCTGGAAACGTTAAAACGCACTAGTTGTAATACACCAGTTGGCTTGTTAATTCCCATCTTCCACGCAGGACAGTTTTTCAGCTTTCGATATATAAATGTAAAAGGCATTTAAAGCTAGAGAAAAACTCCAAATGTAAAATAAGAATGCTAAATTTCAAGGGAACACTTTATATTCTTTAAGAGTACATCAAGTAATGTCAGTAGACATTCTCTACTTGGTAGCCTCTGTCTGTAGTCTGGAATGCTTGTATTCTATTTATCACTGGAAAATCCTGCGATGTATAATAGGAAGGGATCTGTAAAGAAAACAGACCCAAATTTTAAATGTGTGACTGCTTAATATACAAACTCAGGAGGCTGGACCTTCAATTCAGCTCTGGGTGGAAGTTGTCAAAGTCTTATCAATGTGCACTAGCTGCAAAATAAGCTAATCCTTAAGAAAAACATAATGTTATTCCATACACTAGGATTTTCTTGATTAGGTCCAGTCTAGATGAGAAAGCACATTACCACTCCAGGTCAGCACGCTACAGTGTTCCTATTTTATTCAGGGCAACTTAAGGGTAACAGACAAAAATGAGAAGAATTCTGCCTGCATTGTCCAGGTGAATAAGTATAAAATTAAGATCTTGTTTTAAACCAGTATAAATAACTTACCTTTTTCACTTGTGCCTCTTTAATCTTCTCTAACGCAACCCTAATCTTCTCAGCTTTGAGTTTAGCAGCCTGTTCCTCCTAGGGGCACACAACACACAATTCCAGTTAACACAAACTTCAGTTTGGTTTTAGTGGATTTAATTTTGAGACTACCATGCTTTAAAACATGAACTGAAATGCTGATTTATCCACCTATAAATCCTCAACTATTTCTTAGTGATGATGAAGACTATTATTTTTTAAGACAAAAAGTGTTACTATAGATATCTAACATTTAGAAATACAACTGCCGTTATCTCCAAAAGAACATACTGGAGGCATACATTTTGTATAGACACACTTGACATTTCTCTGTTCTTCCATACTGTAAGTAGTCTTGTGCATTGCTAGCAAACATTTTAGTATACCATGTATTTAGAGTCATAGATTTGGACAATACATATTCAACAAGAACTTACAATTGAATACGCCCAATAGATTTTGATCAACATAAAACATAAATAGCACACTGACAAGTATCAGAATTTAGCAGCACACAGAAAGTATCGAAAACAAATTCTATACATTGGTTTGGAAGATCTTAAACTATTAAATCCATTTGCAATAAGTAAGTAGCTTGAACACTCCCTTTATCTTTACTAAATCCAGGCTGTATTTCTCCTCACCTTAAGTATTTTAAGACACATAAAGCAAATGAGCATTCTTTTCTTTGATGCTCTTCTAAGCAATCGGGTTTTGTTACAACTGGAAATGAATTAACAATTCAGATAATGTAAATCTATTCTATCTGCTGATGCTAAAGAAATCTGTATATTGTAAGACTAACAATATTGGTTCTTAATTTATGGAGATTACTGATATTTCTGTCGAACATGGATTTGAAATATGCAGCTAAACAAGCAACCACTCTTTTTAAGATGATATATGCAGATTTCAGATTTTAGAAATCTTAAATGTGGATGTTCACTGTGGTCAATAGCTAAAAGCATCGTAATTATTTAAAAAATTCTAGAACAATAAACAAACATATTAAACAAACAAATCCCCTCCAAAATATTCAATCTCCTTAGAAGAGAGAAATTAAGATTTTTCTCAGATCAAAACTAGCACAGCCCATTACAACAACAAGCAGCACGCAGCATACATTTAGTTCTGCATTGCTTTCTTGTATAAATGTAATTTGTGGTTTCTTTACCATGTATTTAGATGCTTTTCTTGTAAAAGTCAAGATTCAGCCACCCTGAAATCCACAGAGTTTAAGTTTTCCACTTCTCAGTGAATTACTAATATTCCTATCAACTGCTAAAGGGCATTCCCTATGCTATTTATTGTACTCTTAGTTAACAGCTTTTGCTCCCTCACACCTGTGAGCATACCACACACCGGAAAAAACAACAGCTAGACAGGACAATAAGCCGCCTTGTGAGAAACATAATTCTTTTCAATAAAATGAACCAGTAAGTTGACACGAGCAGAAATAATGTGAGCTTGAAACATTATCTGAGAACTCAATTACCTAGGAACATAGGTTTTTATTAGTCTACAGGGAACTATGGCTTTTTATTTACCATAATGATGGTATCATGTAGCTTAGAAAGGTTAAATCAGATCAGCATTCTATTACAAACAAACAAACAGTGCCATGATGCTTAGAATCATTTAAGTGTAAAACACACCTAGAACTCTAAACTATTCTTCTTCTTCCTTAATATTAACCATTTCCATTTGTAGAAATAAATTATTACTAAAACCCAAGGCTTTAAATACTTGTAAGTTTCTGGAAGCGATGCTATGCACCTGTGCATTATGAAATCAGCAAGAGCAAAAGATTTTTTTTATTTTATCATATATTTGGAGAAACTGTAATTTATAGTTTAAAAAAGCTGCTCACTAAACCAACCATAAACCTTTATCGCTGTGCAAAGGTTGACAGCACATTTGGTTTTGCTCTTCACTGAATTTTCCACCCTGTTTCACCACACACCTGTGCAACGCAACTATCTATAGCAAACCCCAGCAGGAGCACTTTACAGCCACAGTGCACAGGCAGCAACAAGACAGCAAGCAACAAGGAACCAGCTGGGGGCCTCTCGTATACCTGCATCAACACAGCTAAAATATCTTTGCTGATCTCAAGGTTTATAATCCATCATTCCCTAAAATGCTTTTAAAAATAAACAAATATGTAGAACAAAAAAGATTTTGAGGATTTACTATTTTAACTCCTACTGATTACTTTTGATTTCCCACTCAATTTTAATGTGGGTCCAGAGATCAGGATCCCTTATACTTTACTAGAGTTTAATAAAGTCAGTTTAAATTAAAAAAAACCCCAGAACTATGATTACAAAAATAAGGTTTCAACCAGCAACAAATTATAAACAGAGGCCTGAATCTACTTACTGGAAATGCAGAGAGGGAAAGGAAGCAAGAATTAGAAATTTCTGAAAGTACATAGTAGTCAAGGATTTTAAGTTACTCAAGTTTTGCTTTATAGTTAGTGAGTTAGTGCTCAGGTTGTTGTATCATTGCTGATGTGACAAACGAGGTTTCACTGGAGCAGGCAGAGGAACTATCTATTTTGATTACCTAATAAAATAATTTAGTAACTACAGAAGTCTTCAAAACTCACAACAATTTATTCTATTTCTCTCCTAATGGGCCAAGAAAACAACCATGCACAACCCCTCCCCACCAAAACCACCCCCAAACTGCACTCACACACAAACACAGGCTCTCTCCTCTCCCATGCATGGAGCCAAGACAACTCCTCGATGGCAGGAAGGATGTGCAATCCATCAGCCTGTACCAAGCAAACAGCATTTCTCATTGCACATGGAGAAAGGTGACAGGTGGCAAAAATACCTGACTAACTGTAAACTATTCAACGCCACAAACTAACAAGACCAGGACATATAGTCCAATCACATTTTACTTAGGTTTTTATTTCCACTCTGCTAATAAATCCTTCTAGTAATAGTGATGCGAGTTAGGTTGCCAAAGGGTCATAAATACGCATGTAAATGACAGGACTGCTGCCTAGGTCACGGTTTCACAGGTGGCATATACCAACGTACATCCCTGATATGGCTCATACGCCTGCCTCCCTCGCACAGCATTACTTCTCAGATATAGCAGTCACAGGGCTGCTGTGGCCACACAGACAATTCAGTCAGGGAGCTGATCTGGTTGAAAATTAACACAGCAGAAAGACTCAGTAGAATCCACTCCTTGGTAAGACAGCCTTTATGGTCACATACATGCTATAGAAAAGCATAAAGGAGATATATACATATACCACTGCGTAAAAACACCAAACATAAAGGAGTGTCACTTCCACCCCTGACAGGAAAAGGTTATTCTCTTTTAGTAGTGGTACACATGACCGCGAAATTGCAACATAAATTCCTCACTTCAATGGGTCGGCTTCGGGAGTATTTTTATACTTGCATTTTAAAGTTTTGAGCCAAGATTATTTTTGGTTATGGAAAACATCACACCTGATTGAAAGAAAGCTTGGCAACATACTTATGTTAAGAACTTGTTCATCCAAAACGTCCTAAAGTATTGTGATTTTATGCCTCATATTTCTAGGTTGAGGTTTTATTTTCTTTTCATTGTACATTTTTAAAGTGTCATTAACTGATCTCTTTTAGAGAGATCATTGGCAAAATGGGAAAA